GAACCCTGTGAGAACCCTGTGAGAACCCTGTGGGAGCCCTGTGAGAACCCAGTGGGAACCCAGTGGGAACCCTGTGGGAGCCCTGTGAGAACCCTGTGAGAACCCTGTGAGAACCCAGTGGGAACCCTGTGGGAGCCCTGTGAGAACCTAGTGGGAACCCTGTGGGAACCCAGTGGGAACATGCTCCTCCTCAGGGCGGCGTACCTGCTCCACCTTGTCCGGACTGAGCGCGCTCTCTGTGTTGTTGTTGGAGGCCTGAGCAGCCTGATTGGAGTCCACCAGGATCTGAGAACAAAACAGAACACAAGGTCAACTTTATTCTGAACTCTTGGTCCAACAGAACCTCCTGGAGACCTTGTGTGTGACCGTAAATATCCTGCTCAGAACCGGAGGTTTGTTCTGCTTCTGTGTTCTTGTGAAACGCTGAAGAGAGAAACACACACACTGAAGAACCAGAACGCTGTGAGCGACAATCACACGACGGACAGCGGCGTCGTAGGGCAAAGAGTGTGTGTGTGTGAGACTGTGTGTGTGTGTGTGAGACTGTGTGTGTGTGAGACTGTGTGTGTGTTATTGTGTGTTGGTCACATCTGTGGTCACCTGCTGAACAGGTTCAGTTTAAAAGTGTTTTAACACTTTTCTAAAATAAATAATCGTATAAATGTTCTGGTCTCTGTGGTTCTGACTGAGTCCTGCTGACAGCAGACCTCTCTGAGTTCTGTCTCCTGCTTCATGTGGTTCTGGTTCCACAGAGCTGCAGGACTTTATGCTGAAACATGAACCTCAGTGAGGCAGAATGAGACAGGAGCAGATGAAGCAGAGCCTGGAAGCAGCTCGGTTCTGCTTCACAGGGTTGAACAGACGGTGAGAAGCAGGACGCTACTGACGCCGTAAGCTTTGTCCACGTCTCCGCCGGCGTGGTGCAGAGCTCTGGCAGCGTCTCTCCTGGAGAAGCCCAGCTCCGACAGGGTGGAGATGGCCTCCATCCTGGTCCTCCTCCGCTGCCTCTCCCTCTGCTTCAGCTCCTCTCGCTCCTGGTCCAAACGGAACCAACAGAACCAATCAGTCTGACTGTTTGTGACATGCAGGTGTAGACACATGCAGGTGTAGACACATACAGGTGTGCTGTACCTGTCTGCGGTTGCTGATGTGGATGGCGGCCTCCTGCAGGTCTCCCTGACAGGCTCTGAGTCCGAGTCGAGCTTCTCTCTCAGTGAAACCCAGAGCCATCAGCTGAGCCATCTTCTCTGAGTCCAGACACAGCCGACTGTACAGAGACTCCACCTGGAGGGCAACCACAAGCACAGCGGAACACCTGAGTCCTCTGTCTGGACGGACACCTCGTAAATCATCAGGAGAACATGCGGTTCCTCTGCTGCAGCTTCACAGACACACAGGAGAACATGCGGTTCAGTGGACTGTGACAGCGGACTCGGTTCTGCTGGACTCACTCTGGACAGCTGCAGCCGGGCCTGACAGTCGTCCCCCTCGATGTAGAACAGCAGACTCTGGAGGAGATGCAGCCGCAGGAACAGGACGTCCTCTCTGCCTGTGTTACCCTGGCAACACACACACACACACACACACACACACACACACACACACACACACAGCTGTAACACAACCTGCAGCAACAATGTCAACACACCTGCTTTACACAAGAGTCCGACTGGTTCATTTGACTTTCTCTGTTCCTGTTCACACTGCAGCAACAAGTGTGTGTAGCTGTGTGTCAGTGTGTGTAGCAATTGTGTAGCTGTGTGTAGTTGT